TATGAAAATTCAAAAAAATCATTAATATCTCCCTCCTAGCGAAGTTAAATGTGCTCACCTATATCTTGAAGATTTTAGGTAGAAGGTTTCCAGATCTTGAAGATTTGCAGATTTTTGGCAGCAAGAGTCCGACTCGATGAGTTAATGATGTACCAGTGAAGGCCTTTAGTCATTGTTTGATTGCGGAGAGACATGCATTATAATTATTTGCGAAATATTAAATACAATTCAAAATATTTAGTTGGTGGTAAAATAATTTTTAAATCATTAAGACATCAGCACACGGGAAAACGGAGAAACAAATGTTTTTGACATGATAATTTTTGCTGGAATTTTCGGGATGCATAGCAAATTAACTATGCACCCGAAAATTTTGTAGCGCATAGCACTTCCGTTTTTTATTACTGTGCGAATGAACAAGTAACATGATTGTCAGCAAGTTCGGGTGCAAAACATTGAACAAATATGTAAGTGCAGAATTTACTGGCTCAGTTAAACACGGTTTCCTCATCGTTCAGTCTGCACTTTGCACGTGCCGGCAGTGTGCGACTGGTCATCACTTGAAGATATGGACGTATCGATTTCTACAACGTGCGCGAATCCATATGTACGGACCAGTGCGGTCGATATTGCATTCACCATACCATTAAAATAGTGCTATCTAGGACAACCGAGCTCCATTAAATTTATATCTTCGATCGTCGCTATATATGTATATTCCACCCGAGCAGAAATCATAGAAATTCTGCGCCTGGACGATTGTCTTTTGCCTCAGCGATTAAAAAGCACGATGTTTAAATGATATCGCGTAATGTTGAATTCGAAAAACATTTTTACGACGGGGAAGATATTGTTCACCGCCTATTCTAGTAAGAATTAGTAGAGCGATATTTCGATACCAGCTTGTACACGATGAACATGCAGCTATGCTTGTCTCTGCACCATTATCCGGCATATCTCGTGGAAATCTTGCATGATGATGGCATTGTGACCAGAGGTGGTGTTGTCGATGTTTGCGGTGATAATCTGGTGGTGGACACCTTCTCGGTCCGCACAGGACTACAGACTGTGCCATTGTCCCGATTACAGTTAGCAAGGTCGAGTGGCGAAGAATTCGTGGTGAACATCAGCGACACCCGTGAAATCGAGGCACTGCTGCAAGCTTCCGACGATGATCCCTGTTTGAGCCGCTGGTACCCGGCAACGCTACTACGCTTGTGGCCGCAAGCAGGCTGGCTACCATTTTTTGAGTGGCAGTTGGCCACCGTTCGCACACCACACTGGCAGCACAGAAACGGAAGTTATTGCGTATCGATTGCGGATGGTGTACCGGCGGCTGCTCGCCGGCTGCGCTACAGGAAGCCCTTTACCTGCCTTCCGAAGGATACATTCAAGAAACTGCAACTACCCATTCCGCAGCACGATGCGTCATACGAGGCCTTATCGCACATACTGACTCGGTTTAATCGCACGGTATTGATGTTTAGCATCAACTGGTCGAACTATACGCGCAGTCGATTCATAACGGCATCTGACAAATATGTAGTTGTTGTATGCCGACATGAGGATACTGATTTTGCAACGGAGCAGATACAGCATCTACTAACAGAATATAAGGGCGATGAAACGTATTTATGCTGTTATCCGTTTTCCCATTATTTAAACGACGCCACTGGAATCGTCCAAGGTCTTCTCCGAGGAATACAGGATTGCATTGATGCCAGCGACGAGTTTATGCGCACTCCGAACGTTCCAACCATTAGCTCGCTGTCACCGGTGCTCATAATGAATATCTTCTCCAACTTGGAGGTTTATAATCAGGGTATAGTGCAAAGGTAAAGATTATGTGCAATGTTTGGTGCGCAAACTGCTCTGCAGGTTAGAAAATATGTGCGACAGCGCACCAAATCGTTTGTAGCGATATTTACCTTGTTGCCTCTTCGACAATAATATTTTAACAAAAATGAAATTAAACGGAGCAACATGCTTACAGAAATAACAAATTTTTCAATCCAGGGAAAATTTTAGACTAATGCAGATTTTAAGTAGTAAAAACGCACAAATAATACTTGCGAAAATAAACATTAATTATTTTAAAAAAATATTTAATGATTGTTAATTCAAAGCGCAGCCGATAGCGCACACACTAATATATGAAATACAGTAGAAGCATGTACTCGAATTTTAGAGGCAGTGACTCGCAAATCGAGCAACTGATTCGACTTTAACCACCGAGAACGTATTTTAAAAGCAAATATTCTAGTTTTGAAATTTATTGATTCCTGCCTTTTGATAATCTGACGCCGAAAACAATAATCTTTTTACGCAGGATTTGTTGGCAGTGGCACAATTTGTGCTTATCAGCATTGGTTACGCGGGCTGTTCATTTCGCAGCGGACAACCCGCTTAAACCAGTGGGCGGAATCCAACCACTTTCGCTCATCCTGGCCGACGGGCTCAGCAAGGCGCTCACTCCCTACACGCAGGTTTTGTACCTAACGGGAAACTGGCTTCTGTGCCTGATGGCCGTCACAAAGACGCTGGACTGTATGCAGAAACGGCTGCGCTATCTTGTTGTTCAAGACAATGGTGACCTTTGCCTGGAAGACTTTCTTGACACCTACCAAACATTTCTACTGCACGGCGAACTGATTCGCAGCGTACAGTGCATGAAAATACGACGCTGCAATATGGAATTAAATTGTGAGGCTTGGTTCAAAGCAGGATTGGGTAGCCTTCCATATCTTCCTTTTTGGGGACAGGGACAATGTGCCAAAAATCATGATTTCAACTTCCTCGTGCCTTCCGCATCGTTCAGCGTGGACAGAACTAACGCTTTAACTCTGACCAGGCAGTTCCTGGAATTACTGGAAAGCATTTGTCCGGAAATGGTTGGGGAATCAAAAGAGCGACTGTATGGCGGTCTCCGAAATTTCCAAGCATTCGATGATAAGCAATACGCTTGCTTGCAAACTCTTTTCAAAAAGTAAGTCCTGCTTCCCATTTCTGCAGATACACCGCAGCCTGTAAAAAAGCCTGTCTGTAAAAATACCTCGTAAACTGCGACAACCATCTTAAAACTCCTATTAAAGCCATTAGAGACATTTAGAGTGTCATCTGACATGACGTTGTTGTGGCATGATTTTAGGTACCATTTAGCTGTTCCTCCTGAGAATATTTTGGCAGTTCAGAAGCTTCCCGAACGACTCGCCGGTTGTTGCTACCGAAAATTACTGGAACATGCACTACTTGCTTGGCTGGACATGCCTTGTTTGAGGTTTTAGTTCCAGTTCAACTGACTCGCCATGCTTTGATTTTAAAATTAAAGACCTGTTCTTATCGTTACAAGCAAAATGCAGAAAAATAAGCCACAATCTGCTTTGATCGCATGTTGTTGTAGAATACGTTTTGAGCCAAAATTGTTTCTCGACACTACTAGGGCTTACAAAGGTCTCGCAAAGGACGTTCCAAAAGTTGTCTCCTCAATTTTGACTGTTACCATTTAAAGTGACACCCAAACGATATTTTGTCTGTCACTCAACTTACTCTGTACTCACTAAGCTATAGAAGAATATAAAGCGTCATGTCTACGCGCGAGAGTGCTCTCGCGTTATGGGTTTTGAGTTCGCGCGGGAGCGTTTTGCGGCACTACCAGTAACGAAAACGCGACATTATAATGAGCCTTTGTCTTGTGCAGGCGGGCCTGCAGTTTTTTTAAGAACTCAAAAAACGTAATTTTTTTAAGTTTCGAGGGCACTTGACGGTTTTTGATTATCGTTGTCCGATCATCTTCATAACTAAATTTTGCGAGTAGTCGTGCAGCACGAGAAGCTGGGACTTGCCACCGCCAGGACGTTCGCGGCTGCGAGTTGTCCTGGCAGACTTCCGTCGCGGTAAGCCAGCGTCGTTTCTCCTAGCAGTCTTGTCCCTTGGTTGAAATGTCTTTGGTGATGACAGTGCCGGCTGTACCAGTTGACACAGCGTGTAACAATGACGGTACCGGCAATCATTGGCGGTAACACACACGATGGATTAACTGCTCCATGGTGTTGCGCTCCGCATCGAACAACCGTCTCCGTTCAGGAAAGTGTTGTGCTATCGCATCCGAGTTCTCAGGGTTGTGGCGTTCCAGAACCGGTAGTGAGTGACCTCCATCTTGGCATTCACCAGCTTGAGGCGGACAACCGCTTGGCGTTCCGTTTTCAGGGCGATGTTGATGCTCTTCTTTGCCGGTATTGAATTCCGCCGATGCAGACGATAACCTCCACCTTTCGGTTTTCCTATATAGAAGCTTTACTGAGCTATACGGGAAAATTGTTCTGCAAGGGATGCGATTTAGATGTTTTCGTATTTCCACCGGGGTTGACAAAGACTGAGATGATTGGGGGGGGGGGGAGGAATGATAAATCTGCTCGCTGCACTGTTCGATACCTGTAGATAGCCCGCTGTAGTCATCGTTGTAATAATCCCCAGCTGAACTACGTTTCGCGTTTTGCACTTTTTCGCAATTTTTTGCTTACGCCCAGACAAGGAACGCGCTGTCATCACGAGCGTCAGTGATCGAAGTTGCATGTTGGTGGACGACAGAATGATGGTGGGCGGCTGATACAGTATGTTGTGAATCAGTGATCAAACCGGAATTCGTATCCAAACCGTTTGCCTGTGGCGCGTCAAACTTAAGTTGACGATTTACGGCGATGGGCCTACGATGGTGGGGTCAAGGTTGGAAAGCGAAAGTAATGTTGGCTAATGGGATAATGGTTTGAAAACCACGTTATAAATGGCTCACGTTCTGACCATCTCACCATGAGCGTATCAGTGGCTGAACAAAAACATTCCCGAACGTCTCTGCTATCCATGTTTATTTAGTATATCTGCTTAGGGTAAGAAGGCCGTTCCTTCTGAGTTTCAATGGTTCTTCTAGTTTCATTCATTCGACAGGTTGCATGACTGCTAATGCTACCGGAAAATCCTGTACTTGAACAACTATTTATGTACAGTACTTCGCTGCAGCGTACGTGATACGCTCGCACGCAAATTCTACTACAGTTAAATTATAATAAAGTATGCATTAAAAAGTCGGTAAAATATCAGATCAAACGACACCTACCAGTGAAAAATATTCAAGTGAATCCAGTAAAAACTATTCAGTGAACTAACTGATCTCGAGAAAACAGCGCTCAGACTCTGACTACGGCTTAACGTAACTGAGGGCAATGTCCAGTAGCAACTACAGGGATTCGAAATTTTCAGGCCCGAAACAAAATCCACTATCCGTCGCACTCGTCCACTTATGCAATTTAACGAGCAGATGCCGAGTAATGCGCGACAGCTTCTCCCACTGCAGATCTTCCAGCCCGCCGGCATCCATACTCCACTTCTTCCCGTGGTAATGCGACGACGGACGCGGATCAGCCGACTGCGCCGCACAAAGTAACTACTAACTGCAAGAGAACATCACAGGTTAAAGTTTTCCTACATCATAGAAGAGTGAATGGTTCACCTTGCAGACGGCATTCGTCACTGCGGGGTCCTCGACTCCAGAGATATTCAAGCGCTGCTGGTCACTCGGTAGTTCCGAAAGTGCCGTCTCCAGTGCATCCCAAAATGCGCAGTCGAATTTATCGCCAACCGGCAGTTGCGCGGTGCCGATGTTTATCAAGACCGCGGTTTGAAATCGAGGTTCCCTCTAAGACCCCACGTATTCCCTAAATTCACTTCACAGTTCGTCATATGTATGGCACGGCACGGTAGATTGCGGCATGCGGCAATGAACTCCAGATCCCTGTCATCGGGCTGCGAGTCCGGCGATGGCTCAGGAAAAAACCAGTTTACGCCAATTGAGCCTTTGTCAGTGCGAGCGAGCCAGCGGCTGATCAGATTCCCAATGCCGACGCCGCGCAGATGCAGGGTACGCAGTTGGATTCCGGTTTGTTGGGCAGCCACATAACGGATCATGCAGAGAAAATGATCCGATGATGATCGCCATGCAGAGAAAATTATCCGATTCCCATATGACGTTGCTGCTGTTCTTTTTGTTGCAGATTACTATTGTGGAATGCTGGCGCATCCAAGATCCGGTTCCACGTGGTGCACACGGCGCGCAGCTTCGTCTGCGCCACAGTGATCAAGTTTGAAAAGACCTCTTGCCACAATTCCGTCGGTAGCGCCTTCTGCGCCTAGCCTTCATAATTGGGCATACTTGCTTCATCCTGAGAATGTGTGACCAAGGTGCGTACTTTCGCAATGAACTCGTCACTGACCCACTGAAAAGTGAAAACCGTAGCTGATTGTATCAACACGGTGTAGAGAACTAATAATCGAAATTTCCGCAGTCGATCCGCAGCTCAAAATGTAACAACTCAAATTAAACTGTATGCAAAAAAAACGCATACAGTGCGCAAAAATTGCCAGCTCTGTTTCGAAAGCACAGTCTTGTCTGCGGAATATGAAAATTGAATTGTGCTATGGATCAGCCCATATTCATACCATGATACAGCAAAATTATTGCGTTCGGAAAACCAATTACTATCTTACCGGGCGAACGCGTTCATCGGCAATTTGGTGAATGTATTCTAATTTGCCGTCCACCATATCCACCACGAAAACGGGTGTGAAGAGAGACAGGCGGCCATTGAGTCGCTTGATGAGCGCCTGCACTTCTACGGTGGATAACGAACGAACTTCTCCGCCCAAGTCCACATTGCGCTTGATAAAGCTGCCTGTAGGGATTTTTTCGTCGTGTAAGACGTTATTGTCGACATCTTGAGCTTGACAAAGTCGATGTATGGGGATAATGTCAGTGTGCTGTTCACGAGTGTCCGGAAGGTGCCAGTGAACAACGGCCGCGCTGCACAATGGCCTCAGCTTTCCTACCCAGTAGATTTCACCGGGAAGCCAAACTCATGGACCGGCTGGCGTCTCCGGCATCAGAACCTGACTCGGGATGGCTGACCGTTGATCGGCATACCCAAAATTGAGAAAGGTCGTAGGACAAGCAAAAAAGACGCGGCCGAACGGCGCAAAATTCACGTCGCCCATTCGGAGAGAACAGATCAACGAAGAGGCCATCTTCTGCAATGTCCACTACGCGTCCGTAGCGCATCCGCTGATCGCTGCACAGGACGTTCACGGTGGTATCAAGCTTGCGGTAAAAATGCATGGTAATGAAAAACCTGCGAACGTGCGAAGCGTAGATCAGCAGAGGACGGCCTCAACGGACTACATTACACCAAAAAACATTCGTACAGACCTGCAATATGCAAGTGAGAAGCGAATTGACTACTTCTGAAAAGCAAAAAGAATTCTGATTTAAAACAGAGGCATGCTATAAGTGTGTCGTGAGATCTTTCTTCATCGCACATCTGCAACGACGGATCGTCGCCTCACTCGCGCTTTATCTCTTTTCTCTCGTGACTCATGCAGCCTTTTAACCGGATAGAAAATTGTTTAACAATTATTGCTAGAAAGCCTGCTTTACTTCAGGTTACTTGTATCTGTAAAAGTATCTTTGGCGGTTATTGTTATTGCTGCATCTTGATGTGCTCGGGCTCCGCACCCATGATGGAGGAAACACTGGAATATTTGGTATTTCCTCTCTTTTATAGCATGAGCGACAGCTCTGGTACGCTATGATTAGCCTGTCGAAGTCAGTGCGCTTTGCTACTAGCGCTTCGTCTGCCAATGGCGAGAATATACCGCCCATTCCTAAAGTACGTGCGCCATTAGAAGTCGGTTTCGCCCAATAAATCATATCTACATATCCGACATCGCTCGAAGATACTGAGGTAATTATTATTTGCTCATGCTAAACAGCGCAAAGCACCATAATGAACACTGACGAAATTGGTTAATCGATTCCGCGAAAAGCAAAGCGGCATAAAACAGGGAGTGGATGTAGTGTGGTGCGATTGGTGCCTTGTCTACGGTAGTTTGTCATACAGGTTCGAAAGTTCTGGATGCCAACAACATGCCAAGAGGTTTACATACAAACAGGCGCACCAAACGTTTCTCTATGGACTGATCTTCTTTAAATTTTGCATAGAACGCACATTACTATAAAGACTGTTTTTTACCGACTTCCATCCATTTGTTCAAAGTGTAAAATTAATTTCAAAAGTTTTGAATGTCGTAACTACGGAAACGCCAGTAACGCCGACAATGGTTCACATAATGTAGTCATTAACAATTTTATCAATAATGTTTTGCAGAGGGGTCAACAACATGCCCGATAAACAAAATGGCGCCGGTTTTTTCGTGCCGCAGCAGAAACATAAAGGGTCGATCGGCTGCGAATTCCACTCTTGTCTGGGGTGGCAGACTGCAATTTATGTATCTTACCATGGTCGCCGCGGACGCGACCGTTCCTCTTTCATTGACATCTGAATAAACATAATATCCAATTAATAAGCTCTTGCTTTTTTGGCGTGTTTGATTAGACATATTCCGTCCCCCAGACTTTCTATGTAAAATCTTTCGACGTTTTTCTTCAAGCCAAACGCTTTTTTTTAGCACTTGCCTTTTTAAAAATTTAATTTAAATCATTTACATTTACGGTGCTGTTAATGACATACAGATGTCGAATTCGGTGATGTCTTCGTTCAGGACGACCTTTATAAAAATGACGAGTTCGAACTTACGCAACAGCGCCTATGTGGCGTAGTGTTGCAAGTTTACCGACCAAGCTGGAATCGCTATGATTTTACAGGACTGGAAAGTTCACGTTTACCGTTTTCTGCTTACCGATATACACCTTCTGCTTAATCTTGTCAATGCAGAGGGAACGCGTCGATATCCCGGAGAAATCGGCGCTTTCCGAAAAAGCTGACCGCATACCCAGATCCCGCAGCGTGCTATCCAAATCGATGTTGTGTTCAATGGAAAACTTCGGTACCTGTATCGTTCCGTAAGAAATTGGCTGGAGAGAATCCAGCGCCTTTTGAACCAAAGCGGGCGTCAGGGCTCTCTGCAGGTCCGACAACGCTGAACCAGGTGTCCACGTAGCTGAGCCGACATTCTTCCCCGGGAGAATGAAACACGCGCTGGAGAGTTCGTCACCGTACCACAACTGCAGAAAGCGCGCTTCTCCCAGTTCCTTACTCTCGTAATACCCACACCGCGTCAACACATGCATGGTATCCACCATCACCTGGCCGCCATCGGTCAGGGTGAAAGGTTTCTTCACCGTGTGCTCCTCAAAAAATCGATGATCTCATTCCGCTTCAAAGTACACCGAACTAATCAGTATGAATGCGGTATCTTTGTCTATGTCGGAAAGAGCCAGTGTATCGCGAATATTTCCGGATGTGTGATTCTCCACAAATTCATTGATGCGTTGAACAGCTTCAGAGGGTGCGGTGCGGAAGCGAACAGGTTGGCATACGGTGTTAAATAAAGTGCGGAGAGTGTCGGTGTAGTCGGCGTTGAGAGGACAGTCTTCTTCAATAAATCCTGCTGTGGCTAGGAACAGCCTGTAGTTTGGAACAGGAGCTGTAAAAGCATGAAAGATTCTCAAAATACGAACATTACAGTAAGCGTTTAACAACAAGACATTTCAGCGACTAATAGTTATCAGCAAAATCTGGAAAATACCATTTGGGACCGCTTAGTTTTGATCCGCATTCCTTTTCATCTCGATTAGCAACGCGCAGAAATCGTCTACAGTGTAGGCTTTGCTGAATCCCAGTAAATCCCCCATTTGTTGGCGAGTCTCTCCTTTTGCACCAACATAAGCCATGAGAACGGCGAACTCCGCACAGATCGGAGACCACAGCGAATTTCCTCCGCACGATCGCTGCCCACATAATCTTTTATAGGGAGTCACACAAAAGTCTAAACGGTACTTAGTATCCATTTCCGTCGTCGTTCTGGATTGAAGCAGTACCGTGAATTTAGGAAAAGATCAGTTTCAAGAGAGTCTTTAATAATCACGTATTGAAAAAAATTTTCCTGGCTCAAAATGTATTGCAATGCCTTGCTCGCATCCCACATGCACATACGTTCTCAACTTCTCGCTCTTGTCGTGTCGCATTATCATGCGGGCAAACCGGCAAAGTATCGTGAATGGATCAGGCTGTCCTCATCGATCGATCGATTCTCTGCGCTTTGCGCAACCGGCACAACGCGCAAACAACTTTTTCCATGTGGTGAGCAATCCAAGCACTCAACAGTCAACACTCAAGTATGTAAGCTGCGGGATATATGCATAAACCGCGGACTATTTTCTCACATTACTTCTTGCCACAGTGTCTGCTTTAAAAAGCCCATGTCAATAAGATAAATAGTATTATCGAAGCTTTCTTAGGTTCATTTGCACAAGCACTAGAAACTGCAATGTTCGATTGCCAACTACAGTTTGCTACGAATGTCATTTAAAAACACGGAGCTGAGATTATGCTCGGTTAATATTATGTGCGGTGTAGTCCGGCGGTCCGCGTTCGTCATTGCATTATCGAAAGAACTGGTGCGTGGACGGCCTGGGAGATTTGTAGTTAGAGAAATTGTCGCGCATTATCCAACTTAGGCTGGCCGAAAACCCGTTTACTGAACAAGGGGGACGGTAGCCATTGTCCAGAATCACGATATGCTGATTACGCACCTTCATGTTGTTAATAAGGGTCCGCAATAATTTTTAATCCACGGTTAAAAAAGGGACGAAAAAATGGTTTTGGTAGCGGTAAAATTCTTAAGAAAGGAAATCTGCCTTGATGAATAGGGGAAAAAATTTTGGTTGGTGAAACAAATTGGTGAAACAAATTTTGGTTTGAAAGTGAAACATATTCTTTTGACTAAGGAATGTCCTGCATTTATTCGTACGTACGAGTGCTAACATGCAATGTTCACCGATCAGCTTCTGCGGTTCCGTGGAGAGTCTGGAGACCATCCCGTTTAATGCTGCATACTGTACTGTTGCACATACTGTACCTATTTATTACGTAGTTGTTTGCTTCCGGTACATAACTGAGTACAATTTGAGTGGCTGTACAACCCGGCCAACGGCTGACCATGACGGTTAGCGATCACGCTAGCCAGTGGTTAACGACAGTGTACGACTGCGCACCCTGCATTCTGTATTTTTGCTTTTGCATTTTGCTGATTTTTGTCGATTTTGAAATTATCCACTATCCAATGTTTAATTCTTATGCGAAAATGATGAAAATTTTTATGACATGCAATGCGAAAAGTAAATCTTAATTTAGCTACTACGAGGAATGGTGCATACTTTCGGTTTTCAGAACTATGCTAACGGTTTTGAAAGTAGGCACGTTGCGCAGAACATCTGAGCGGATAGTCAACCATGCATTCATGATTTTCTTGTAGTGTGGGCGTTTTAGCGCGTCAGACCGAGTTGCATCAGGAACGATTGGCGAAGCACTTGGACATTTTTGGCTGTTGACGATGGCCCCACGAGTTTTCCCGTGGAACAGCGTGAACGTGTTGGGCGATGACGGTCTCTTTCGTTATGGACGAGTGGTGGATGTGGCGGAGCAGGGTCTGTATATCGACTTCCTCTGAGACAATCGCCGACATGAGTTCACGCCGTTTGAGCGGATTTGTCACAATTATGACAACCGATATTTGGACCGAAACGGTATGGCCCGGATGAGTCCCATACCTAAACTACCCGCAGAAGTCCTAATGCGTGAGAGTGTCTCCGGTGCGTGGACGTGGTTCCCCGCGGAATTGGCCATTCGGGCCAGCGAAATCAGGGACTCCAGTTACAGTGTGGTCATCATCAACCGCGGGAAACCGGAGGAATATGCGGATGTTATTCCCATGATACGTATTCGCTGGAAGACGTCATCCACTGATCGGCGGACTCTGTTTGGATACGAGTATCGCGAACACAGTGTAAATTCGTTCAACCGCGTGGAGAAAGGGACATTCGTCAAGGGAAGTATTACGCTGTCGGACGGGTATCCCCCGGGATTGGTTACGGCAGCGCTGCAACAACAGAAGCGACAAGTGATTTCCAGTTTCATATTCACTGGGCAAGCTGTAGGCGTGGAGATTGTGGACGGCTGTGTGGTGTACATTCTTCGCCGATCTGATGCTGGTGCGGAACCCGACAATACTCTGTTGAATTGGGAACTGGTAAGGAAGATAAGAGACTGTATATTACATGTGTGCATGTGTGCCAGTACTTCGATGTATCTTAAAACCCGAACATCTTGAGTACACTCGTACGGTTTTAACTTCAATCACAGTCCCTCCTTCAGAATTTTTGTTTAAAGATCCTGCTTCTGTGAAAAATTAGCTCTTCCGACTCACATGGTTGTGTGGCGCAGTCACCAAACAGTCCTGATTATGGAAAATTATTATTTGTAGAGTTTTGTGCACTAAATAAATTGGAACTCGTGTGTGATCGGAGTTGTTATCCGTGTACTAACAATGTTCGTTCTTTGAGCCACACCGAGGAACCTAACGTTGAATGAGATTTTCTTTAGGAAAATCTTCACAGGCTCTACGCTGCGTTGATTGATTCCATTTCACGAATGCGAGAGCAATTAGAACAGCTATCAGGACTGAGTGAAGTTGCTGTGTTGCCGCTGGAATTGTGGACGGAAGTCTTCTCGTATCTGGACACTGGGACGCAGACTAAACTGCGCTCTGTGTGTCCAACATGGAACGCCCTCCTGGATTCAAAGTGTTTGAGAGCGAATCTTGTTCTTGATAGCAGCTCGGCATTTGCCAATTCAGATCATAAGTGTAGGCCAATGTATCTTCTGATCGCAGCTCTCTTCAAGTTTTCCTGTTCCGCGCACTACATTGCTGTAGTTGATAATCCCCGATGGCCGTGGATAGGTGACGTGGGTGCCTCGGAAGTGTTCCACGTTATTAACTTCATTGCACGGCGCAGTAGCGCCACTGTACTGACGGCTGTTTTCTTGGTTGGACTGCATTTCTGTCTGCTGAGAAGCCGGTATAACGAACACCGGACGCTTCATTCGTCTCTTGCTGGTCACGCCGGAAGCACTCTCCGGAAGCGCGGTATGATATGTCGCGGTCTTCCATGTGACAACGTCCATATTGCAAACTGCACTATCGCTTTGGAATGCCTGGAGTTCAGCAATCGCAATGGACGCGATCGCTTTTCGCTTTCTGCCAAGATTCTCGTGCATGAGCAACACGTCACTGGCGATTTTGCCAGCGCACTGTGGAGTGCCTTGGAAGCGGGATTGTCAGCCCCACGCCCCATGGAGCTGCATCGCTTGGCTAAATGGTTATCACTGCACGCACACGGCGTGCAAACTTTGCATGCTCGAAGATGTGTGACCTTTGTCTGCAAGTTAAGTTTGCACGGACCAGGCATGTGTACGAACTTATTTTTTTCACTATGCTACTCAGGGTAATCCATTTTCGAGTTACTAATGCCTTATGAAACTCTGAAGCGTTACTTGCTACACAAAACGCGTGTAACTCAGGTAACTCTTTAACACACATGTACTGTATGTTACAACGTAGCGTAGCGCGGTATAACTTGAGACTTTGTTTTATCAATACAAGAACAGCGTAACTCGCCTGCACCCTGTAACGCTTTGCTCCAACGGTGTGTAACTCTCCATATTATAATCTGCTGATGTCTGTAACGGGCACCAAACGCAGTAACGAAAAGCTTTGCGATATCACGGTATTCTTGTTGCAGACGCTGTGTGCGACGCAGACGGCGGATCCGCGTTCAGCGCTGCATTACCGCGGGAAGGAGTGGTGTGAGGACGGTTTGAAGGGTTTGAAGGTACAGAAGCTATCGCGTGTGGCGCAGCATTTCCTCATCCAGCTGATGGGTGCCTTGCCAACTTAGCTGTTCCTGGTCTCGCAGAAGCACGCAGAAGTGCGGTTTGTTTCACGACAAATATTGGACCCCTGCACTAATAGAGTTTGTCCTTTTGCAGCGCTTCTTGACACCATTTCCGTTGTTTTGTTTTGTGAAGTGTTTCCATTATTTCTATATAATTTGATGCGGAAGTAGATATTACCCTTTGGTACACATTTTATCGGTTGCTAATTTTTTAATAATGCTCTTAAGCTCCGTGTGCAGCCTGTTAGTGTCAGCAGGACTCAAAGACATATAATTAAAGGGATAGTGTTCGCATTAATCCTAGGTTAGTAAAAAAATTATGAAAAGGAATTGTGAAATCGATGTCGCTTTATATACCTCAATTTCATTCAACACTATACTTTTAACGCTGACACGATCTGTTGCAAGTGTTGATCGCAGTCCTATGTAGTTGATATAACCGCCAAAATGACTTTGTAAACGCAGTTTTCTTCCATCTAACAGCTAACTTCTGCCCTCCTAGTTTTGAAATTCCAGATCTACAGCTTATTCTGCGAAAAATTAAATACCAGGTAATTACTCAGTAGCGGTTGGGAATTTTCGAGTTAGTGACAGCACTGTCAGGTACAGGTTAAAGCATTAAGTAAAGTTTAGGGCGATGATGAAACATACTGCGTTTGTGTCTGTTACACTTTTCTTCGCACGATGCATTATGCTAGCGTGGTCAAAATTTAAAGATGGTCAAGCAAGTTTCGTTACTGTTATTCGTTTTGTTTGCAAAATGATTGCATAACCCTAGTATTTCGGTCATAAAGTTGACGCGCGTCGATTACCGTGTCAATTTTGCTTTGATGATTTTTATATTACAATTATCGATGAATTTCTTATAAAAGACCACGATGAATTTCTTATAAAAGCTAAGCGTCAGTTTAAGGGAAAAGACCACTGAATAGCGTCTACATGCAGAAAATAGCAGCGTTCGCAAGGAAAGTCGGCAGTGTAGCATACCGGAAAAGGATTACAATAAAAGCCATTGAAGTGAATCAAATAAGACAGAAACCAGTAAACTGAACAAATTTAATAAAATCCCCCGAGAGCAGTTCAAAGCGTCGCCAGACAAACTGAGGGAACGTGTCGAACTACAGGGATTCGAAATGTTCAGGCCCCAAACACAATCTGCCATCCGTCTTACTCGTCCACGTATG